ACACACATTTATTTTATTTTATTTTAGGACACAGTTATGACATCATCATCATCATCTTAATTAATGTGTATACTTCACCCTTCACCAATCATAACTTTTTTCAGTCAGAGTTGATGGTCAATGTCATATGGAAGCTGCTCAACCCTAGCTAAATACTCCATAATACAGCTCGAATATAAATAACAAGAGGACAGGTGTATTATTATAACATTTATTAATTATTGTAGAATAAATTGTAAGAATTTCCATTTTTAATTTTTGTGTGCGTCAAGTTGTAATTTTTCGTTTAAAATCAACTTGTAAATTGTAATTAATAATAAAATACTGACGTTCATGTCTGCAAGATCTTGCTTGTTTTGATCATCCACCAGCAACAAAAAAAAAGTGTTTTTACTTGTTAACCTCAATAACGCGTTGTTATTAGAAATTGATAATCAAGTGTTACAGAAAGTCGTCGGTTTTCACATGAACTGAGTTGTTTTTGTATGCGTGTATAAAATGTCCGGAATCGAATCCTTGTACAAGAATAATTTTGACTATTTATAATAGCGTTTTGTTGGCTCGTAGTTCCAGGTTTGAACTGTTGCATTTAATGCAAAGTAGCTTTAATTTGAGATTCGGTTCATGACAGTTGGGCCCACAAGGATGATGACAATATGTGTGGTGTATAACCACGTCGCGTAGGTGTTTTGTCACCTGCTTTGACCGCGGACGTGGGAACTCGGTCTTGGAGAGTACCTAGGTTTTCTCGCCCGGTCTAAGCGGATACGCTATAAATTGACACCTGATACGTATTTTGCATCCTTAAGTACATTTTGACCATTTAAGTGCGTCGTGACCAGGTCGGTTATCAACATTACTACATGAGAATTAATTAATAGGAACATGCGTGTAAGACCGTCAAATATTTTTATAGTTTCAAAAATTTACCATGAATAAAAATACAGAATCTATGCCTATAAATACCACCACCCCAAACATCTCATTTTTCGTAAAACCCTACACTCAAAGTCGACGTTCTCCCACAATCACACGCATTCAAAAAAAAATAAATAAATAAAATAAAATAAATAAATACATAAAGAATTGAAAATGCACATGGGGCCGCCCGGAGCTCGTCCAACGACCCGTTAGAGAGCATCGAACGGATGGCGTCATCAGGTGCGGTGGTGATATTCAGCTCGAGCACGTGCTGCATGTGCCTTGCCGTCGATCGGCTCATCCGAGGCCTCGGCGTGGGCCCCACCGTCTACGAAATCGACGGTGAGGAAAGCGACAGCCTGGCGGCAGCCCTGCGGGGACTTATCGGTGGGCCGGCGGCCGTCCCGGCCGTCTTTGTTGGGGGGAGGCTCGTAGGAACCATGGAAGGAGTCGTGGCGGCGCACGTAGGCGGAGCACTCGTCCCGCTTCTCAAGGAGGCCGGCGCACTTTGGCTATGAATATTAATAATAATGTCACTACTTGAAATTTTTTCGATATTTTTTTTTCGTTTAATTAATCGAATTTCCAAGCTCCAATATTATTGCAATAGTTGAAGTTTCAATAATATTTAGCATCTCTTGACATTATAAAAAATTTCCACATCATCAACTTTTGAATGTGTCTTACTAACTTATTCTACAATACATCTTGTCATGAAGTCTTTCATGATGAGGTGGATGACATTTAATATTAACAATGTTGAGCACACTTTCTAATATCTAACATCATGTTAAACATGATAACTCATCGATTCACCTTATTTCTGGCTTAATTTTTTATTGTTCTTCTATTAATAAATTATTTTAATTGGTCTACTTATACAAATAAATTCTTATCAAATTCATGAATTGGAGATACTAATTTGATTCAAATTTCTCATCTTTTAACATTATTCCTATGTGGATTAACATTGCAATAATTGATTGACATGTGTTAAAAATAATTGTCCTTCAAAATCATAACATTGGAGATGCTCTTAGATTCACTTTATATATAATTTAGACATAATTTATACTTTCTATACAAATTCATTTATTTCAAACTCTATTTATTTAGTCTAGCCATCAAACTTGAGCATTAACGAATATGTAGCTAGAGTTTTAACGAACCAAACTCTAAAATATTATATTAAAAAAATAATCTTTTTGAA